GTGGAGGTCGGATCCAGTAGAGAAGAAAGAAAGGAAAAGAAAGAAAAAAGAAAGAGAGTAGAGGGAGAGAGATTGGGTAACAAAGAGAGGAGAGGAAGTTTTTGATCCAAAACTTTTTGGAAAATTGAGTTGGATGATGTTTTTGGGCTAGGATTTTTAAGAAATATGGGTTAGGCCAACCCATATGTGATCAACCAATCCAACCAGCCCGAATTTTGTTTCCTTGGGCTAGACTCGTCTAGCCCTTTCCCCTAGAAATGGACTGGAATCATTCCAGTCCAATCTAGCCCCTCCCCTTCTCAAAATAATAATAAAAATATATATAATAAATAAAAAAAGAAGGAAAAAATAAAAAAAAACGTGTTTTTCTTATGTATATTTGTAATTAATACAAGTAGTGAATCATTTTTAATTATTTTAGTTAATGTAATCTTAATTTTAAGTTCATTTATTCATGTTTGTTAGTTTATGTTAACTTAGAATTTAATATTTTAATTATCTTTAATTATTTTAATTCATGTAATTTTAATTTTGAATTTATTTTATGCATGTCTCGTTGTTTAAATTTTAGTATTTAAATTTTCTTTTATTTATTTAATTAGTGTAGCTTTAATTTATTTATTTAGTAATTAGGCTCGATGAATAATATGTGGAGGATTGTCAAGTCTCCTAATTCTACAGGGACTAATGACGATCTTCCACCAAATAAAAAAAGATAAATATAATAAAAAATGAAAAATGAAAGAAAAATAAATAAATAAATCACAAAACTTTTAATAAATTCTTTTATCCGATAGGGACTGTTTTTAGCAAAAAAAAAAAAATTTTTAATAAACAAGTGTTCTCTCGACACACCGATTGTGTCGAGACTTAAAAAGTGGATCCGATGCTTAAATCGATGTGTCTCCCGACGAAAGGTCCGACGATCGTTTTAATATGATGACATACTTAAAAATAAAAAACTTAATTTGACTAAAAAAATAGAGTTTCAAAAATAAATAATAATAATAATTTGACAAAAATAAAATACTTTAGGAGATGAATTTAGGACTAAACCAAATATGGTACATTTCTTCGGAAAGGGTGCTTTTGGATGACTAAATATTTCCTCAAAAGTATAACCAACTCCTTACCATAGAATCTCTAAACCAAGTGCCTATTTTAGGTTCTTAGTTCCTTCAATACTAGGTGGCAACTCCAAACTCTATAAATAAATAAATCTTAAACTAGATTTTTTTGAGAGTTTCGTCCGATGTCGGGGTAGCGACAATACATATCATTAAATTATAAATAATACAAGAATTAATTAAATGAAAAAGAAATTTATTCCTCTTAATTAAAAAAATGTAAACACACTAAGAAAAAAAAAGGCAATTTATTTAATCGTGTGATCTTACTTTATAAAGTCTCGCTCAAATTAAAGTTATAATCCTCTACTTATTCACTTAGTTATCATTTATGAGGTTTTCATTTGATCAATTCAACAAAATTAACAAAACTAAAATCTAATGCAATACAATAACATATCAACATTAGAAGAAAAAAAGAATTCAATTTGTTTCAAAAAAATTATATATGAAAGAAATAAGTAGGTTTTAGGTGCTAACTAGGTTTTGATATGAGATCTTCTATTTTGAAATAATTAAAGATGTAGCCAAGTTCTAGATTTGGTCCATAAATTAAGTTTAATATGAGTTTTGCTATGAGTTCATTCATTAGTATTTTGAAATTTATCAATAATTAAAAATCTTTTAAAAAAAGTTTGAGATATAGCGGTGTTAATTATTATTAAAAAATATAAAATTTCTAAATAATTAAGGAGATAGCAATAATGAAAAAAAAACAAAAAGAGTATTTATTCAATACTATAAAAGTACAATGTTCATTTGTTATGAAAAACAATACCATACCAATGAGTACATATTGTTGAATTTATTATTTACTTGGAAGATAAGAGATATAAGGTGGTTTAGCTACAACACCAACACAACGATTTCAAACATTCGGGCTCTTTGTAGAAAGTTTGGATGGATTTTCTTGTGGTTCTTTTGATATGAGTAATTTTTTCATCGCATTATGACAATCTTTTCCTATAGTTACGAGTTTGTAACAACGGTTATCACATATGATATAATTGCTGATCAACCTCTAAAAAACTTTTGCTCCACACTTATTAGTCAATTTTGTAGAACAATCTTATAAATATTTGTCAAACTTTGGCACGGATTCTTCGGATGTTTCATTAATGTGTCTTGAAAGTCCCGGTGTGCCCATAAATATACCAACCAAAGCAATTAGAACCATGAAAATATTTTTATTGAAAATAACCATCTTGCTAAAAACTCGGATGACCAGGAAGAGTTGATGACTCGAGGATTGATTAATTAAATTATCAAGACTTATTAATTTATAAGTGAAAGTTTTCAAAGGCTTGGTCAACAGTTATCTTAATCATTAATACATCTTTAATAAATATTAAATGAAGTTAATTAAAAAAAGTTTCTTTATTGTGTTTAGTATCCACTTTTTTTTCTTTTTTCTTTTTCTTTTTCTTTTTTTGTTGATGAACATAAGTTTGAATAGATATGATAAAAAAAACTTCCACACAAAAGTAATTCTTAAACTTAAAAGTACGTTTTTATTTTATTTTCTCTCAATAGGTTTTTGTATTTCCAATAAACAATGTTTTTACGTATTAAATTGAAACAAGACTTTCAAACATGAAAATATAATAACAGTACACATTTTAAACTAGGTGATATCATATTATAATTAATATTTTAAGAAACTCTTAATCCCACCATTAGTTTGAGTTTGAAAATTTTTTGCTTCTATATCAAGTCACATTACGAGTTACATTAGCTTCAACCTTCATTTAATTAGTTGAGAGATTATTGTCTAACAATAACAATATATTTAGTCTCGATGTAAAAAATGAAAAATTATGTTCGATAAATGTTAAGAGAAAAGTGAAAATTTCATGAAAATTAATATTTAATCCAAAAAGGATTAAATGTTAACTTTGTGAAAGAATTAAGATGTAAGGAAACAATGAGGGGAACACTATTCTATTCCACTTAGTTTCCTCTAGTTTTCATTTTAGATCACAACTACATATTATTTATTTATTTAAAATTATATTTAATTTAAGAATATATTTTACTTTTATTATAACCTAATATTATCCATAATTATTTCAAATTCTACCAAACATCTTTGAATTTTATCACCTTAATATTTTTTCTCTAAATCTTTCATTGCATACCAAACACCATGTAAGGGTGGTTTTATCCACCGCTACAGTTTATACAGTGGCTGAACGAGAAAGAAATGTTTGGAGCCAATGTAAATATGAGACTTGCAAGGATAAGAACAAAATAAATTAAGAGATATAGGACCATAAGTATCATCATGGAACTTTTCGAGGAGCCTAATTGAAAAAATCTTAAATTTGATGATGAAAATTTGGCCCATGGAAACTTCTAGTTCTGCCCTCCTTGCACGAGAAATTTTATATTACTCGAGAGAGTGACTTTGGACAGGTGATAAGTTATCTAAAATCTCATAAAATTCAGCCTATCATTAAAAATTTTGATTTTTGTTGACTTAAAAATATAACCTGACCTCCACTAGTTAAAAAAATAAATAAAGAAGAAGAAGAAAGTTTGACTAAGCTGGTTTTGGCGGTGGCCGCATAAAATTGAAATCCAACCCTTCTCTTTTTTCAAAAATCCAATATAAAATTTCTCCCATGGCACCATTCTTAATTAGATTTTTTTTCGAACCAACATTTGAAGATATAATTAGTTTTAGTTGTTCATTGGATTTTTCTGTGAGTTTATCCATAAGTATTTATCATAGTATTTTGAAATTTATCAATAATTAAAATCTTAAAAAATATTTAAGATATAGAAGCGTTATTTTATTTTATTTTTTGAAAAATATAAAATTTTTAAAATGAAAATAATTTCTTCAGCACTTAAGAAATTTTTTATTCTTTGAAAATTTTAAAATTTTTAATGGCTGAGGATTTCCATTTTTTTTTTCAAAAATTTAGAATTTTTTTATTGGTTGAACAATTTAAAGTTTAAGTAATAAAAAAACAATTTTGTTCTACTGCTTAAAGTTTCTTAAAGATTTTGTGTTTCTTGAATTATTTTCTCAATGTGAAACAAACACTGAAATATTAAAAAATTATTAGATATTCTTGGTAAATTGCCATCCTACTCATATAAAAATGAGATTTGGTATAATAACTATCCATGGATCCCATTTTAATGTGGATGGAGAGAGTAACAACTGAAAATAGTTAATAATCCATCAAATTAAGAATAATGTACAATCAACCTAGATCCAATTTCAAATATAAAAAATAATAGGAGTAATCTCATCGCTTTGTACTAGAATCGGCTGCAAGCTTACAAAGAGGACCCTCTACTAATTTGTAGTGTGATTTTTTATCCTTACCACTAGTTGCTCAAAAAATTATTCATTACTAAATAATTATATTTTCACTTAAATTTAATTTTTTTTACGTGTCTATCCCTGATAAATATTATTAATTCTCTATGCTCAAGATATTCAGCATCTAATGTTCATACAGAAGTATCCACAACTTCTTTTTGGACTCCATAGCCGTTAAAAACAATCATTCGTGTAATTACCTTGAATAGGTAAATCAATGATTTGTTTATCATAATATTTCTCAATTTCTTATACTTTGCAATTGTTATGCCATGGAAAGACTACATGCCAAAGAAAGAAAAGAAACGTTCCTTTATTTGTTAAGGAAGTTATGCTTATAATGGCCAAGAAATAGTTAAACCAATCACAAAAGCAAAGCAACCAAATGGTCTTACTACTAAGAAAACTCTAAACCAACTTGCAATCCTAAAAATTGTAACATAAAGACAAACAGTAACATATTAACCTATTACATAGTATTGTCAAAACTTCTGCCTTGTTAAAAACACCAAAAGAGATTGAGAAAGATAAAAATCATGATGAATCCAAGAGATGGTTACGATGGTTACCGATCTGGTGGATATAATCCCATCAGCGGCTGCCAACCTGTACGCATCACCTCCCAAAACCTTCAATCCACTTTTCAGCCAAAAACAGAATGGAAGGACGAAGATGCAGCTCTAGTTTTACTTCTCCATCTTCCTTGTAACTTTCCGATTATCTAAGCCATTTTTTAAGCTTTTAAATTCAGCAATAAATTTTGGTAGCTAATTAGTTATAAAATACCCTTTAACTTTTAATTAATAGGGAAAAAAATTTAGACTTTTTTTTCTGGTTTGGATTTCAACTTTTTTTTTACGGTCTACAATAAAATTATTATGTTATATTGATCAATTTCAAGTAATATCGAATGCACATAAGAAAAGCTCATAAATATTATTGTTTTAATGGCTTACATATTTAGAAGTGTTTTCTTGAAACATGAATCATTATTTTAATAGCTCACGTGTCTCTTATATGATTCTAATGTTGTTTCAAATTGATTAATGGGATGAAAGGATTTAATTGCAGATGAAAAAAAGTTTAAATTCGAAATCAGAATTAAAGAAGTTAGAGACTTTCTTTCTGTTGATCAGAATTAGTTCATTGTACTTTATAACCGATTAGCTAATTTTCATACAGGATTCGTTAGAGCACGTAGTGGATGTTCACCCTTAATTTCTTTATCTTTGAAAAACGATCATTTTGCGGTTGATTATGCAGGTTTCTTGAAAGAGCAAGTAAGGATCATGGCAGACGAATCGTTACGTTATGTCAGAGTTTATGGAGAACGTCTGCTGACAAGTAAAATACGCAGACGGTTTGATACAGGTTACAACATTCCCAAAAATTGTGACCTGATGAGTCGAATGAAATCGGAGATTGCTGGTGGGATTCTAACCATCAGGATTCCGAAAAACATTCTTGGTCTGGGAGAATTAGAGGCCACAACTAGCCAAGAGAGTCCGAGGGCTCAAGACACTACTACTACGGGACAGCAAAAACCTGAGAAGAAAGTAGAAAAAGAGGCTCCTTCAGGGAGAACCTCAACCAGCTTTGTTCAAAAAGAAACAGAAGGCAAAGATGTATCTCAGAAGGACCAAGATGAATCTCCTCAAAAATCTAACGTATTGAGTAATACTACAAAACAACTAGATGAGAAGACTGCAGGGCTAGATGGTGAAAAAGTCGATCAAAATGTCATCGCAAAGAAAGAAAATAATGAAGCATATGGAAAGCCTATTGAAGAGGAAAAGCCTGAGAAAGTTGTTGAAAAGGAAGAAGAAAAGAATGAGAAAATTGAGGAATCAAAGATAGCTGAAAGTGTTGTCCTAAAGAAGAAGGAAGAGGAGGAAAAGAATGAGGGAGGAGCTGGCGGTGACAAAGACAAGTCTAACAAGGATGTTTCCCAGGAATCTACGGATATGGAACATGCAAGTGCTTCTGCTAACAAGTCTGACAAAGATGTGGGCATGGTCGATGACAAGTACGGATCGGTAATAAATATTTACGTTGGAGTGTCACTGATTCTGGCACTCGGTGCACATTTCCATAGCATCTTTAGATCATCTAGGAATAAACCGTAAACCTAGCTTTCAAGAACAAATTGTAGCATCAAAATATTCAGAGATAAAATTAATTAGTTCAATTAGAGATATAAAAGCAGACTAGGACCAATTTAGCCATGAACCCTTAACTAATTCAGAAGATCTCAAACACCAACCCTATAGCTTCGATTCTTTCCTGAACAAGGATCGAGGGAAGTGCAAAGAATCAAAAGACAAAGATGCAAACTTCATCTCATCAACTTTTCCCTTAATGACATGATTAGTGTAGATTTCATCCTCAAGTTCCACGGGGTGCAAAGGGAGCAGTATTCTACAAATCTCCAAATATGGTCTCTGGGAGACAAGGCAAGAAAAACATTGCTAATATATATAGAGGAGTTGTGACTCAACGTTGTGTGTCCAACTCGGAGGTCGGACACCACTGGGTGATTTTGCGATGATATAGGATTGAAATCAATAAATTGCACGATAAAGCTGGAAGGATAGCATTAAGATTTGTTTTGAATATTATCCGAGATAAGCGTTTGGAATGTGGGACTAAGAAAGGATATAATGTTGGAGAACACTATTCTATTCCTTTCTCCTCTTGTTTTCATAATTATCCAAATCTTACCTTGGTGGAACCAGAAAGTAATGATTGGGGCGGTCAATGGCAATTTGAGACTTGCAAGAGTAGGAATAAAATAAATAAGAGATATAGGACCAAAAATATAATTATAGAACTTTTTTTGAGGGACTTAATTGATAGAATCTTAAAGTTCATGACTTAACGAAAACTTCCTAGCTAAGCCCCCACTTGCACCATTCTTAATTAGATCTTTTCCTCACCACCCTTCGAAGATATAATTAGTTTTAGCGGCTCATTGGGTTTTGCTGTGATCATCCGTGATTATTTATCATAGTATTTTGAAATTTATCAACAATTAAATTTTTTAAAATAATTTAAGATCCGGAAGTGTTTATTTATTTATTTATTTGGGAAAATTATAAAATTTAAAGCATTATAGAAAAAAAATTTGAACATTTCCAAACTTTTAATGAATGAGAATTTCCATTTTTTTGAAAAAAATTAGAATTTTTATTGGTTCAAAAATTTTAAAAGTTTAAGAATTAATTTTTTTTATTTCTTTAAGTTTCCTAAAGATTTTTTTGTTTATTGAAAATTTTATTTTTTTAACATTTTCAAACTTTTAATGAATGAAAATTTCCATTTTTTTCAAAAAAATTAGAATTTTTATTGGTTCAAAAATTTTAAAAGTTTAAGTATTAATTTTTATTTATTTCTTTAAGTTTCCTAAAGATTTTTCTGTTTATTGAAAATTTTATTTTTTGAACATTTTCAAACTTTTAATGAATGAGAATTTCCATTTTTTTCAAAAAATTTAGAATTTTTATTGGTTCAAAAATTTTAAAAGTTTAAGTATTAATTTTTTTTTATTTCTTTAAGTTTCCTAAAGATTTTTTTGTTTATTGAAAATTTTATTTTTTGAACATTTTCAAACTTTTAATGAATGAGAATTTCCATTTTTTTCAAAAAAATTTAGAATTTTTATTGGTTCAAAAATTTTAAAAGTTTAAGTATTAATTTTTTTTTATTTCTTTAAGTTTCCTAAAGATTTTTTTGTTTATTGAAAATTTTATTTTTTGAACATTTTCAAACTTTTAATGAATGAGAATTTCCATTTTTTTCAAAAAAATTAGAATTTTTATTGGTTCAAAAATTTTAAAAGTATAAGTATTAATTTTTTTTTTATTTCTTTAAGTTTCCTAAATATTTTTTTGTTTCTTGAAAATTTTATTTTCTGGATGCTAACCAAATTAACATTAGAAAGTTAAGAAATTATTAGATATTCTTGGTATATTGTTCTTCCACTCACATGAAAATTAGATTTTGTATAATAACTACTGATTGATCATATTTTAATGTGAATGGAGATAATAACGACTGGAAGTACTTAATAATCCCTCAAAATAAGAATAATATATAATCAACAAAGATCCAATTAAAAAAAAAAAAAAAGATTCCTGGCATCTCTTATACTAGAATCGGTTGCAAGCCTACAAAGAGGACCATCAACTAATTTTTAGTGTGATTTTCATCCTCATCACTAGCTGCACAAAAAATTAATCATTTTTATGGATTTTTGCATATTATTACGAGTATAGAAATTTTGTAATGCATCGTTGTTTGTCAAATCTATACTTCATCTTGAAATTGAAATGATAGCATTAAGTTTTATTTTGTGTATTATCCGAGATAAATATCGGTAAGGGTATGTTGTTGATTGTTCTTGGTGTTCGTAAAATCTGGGAAGTCGCTTTTTCTTTCTGGGTTTCCGATCACGAATTTCCGGTTCCTCATTTGAATTGTTGGGTTTTTAGGTTGAATTCTTCCTGTCCTTCATTCGGTTCCCAGGTCAGCTCCTGGGTTTGATTTTCTCTAGCTTTGATTCCATTGTTGCTTTCATTTTTAAGTGTTGTTCATTACTTGTTCAAGTTTTGTTTTTGAATTGTTTTTTGATTGAGGAAAGTATGAATGTCGGTGTTTAATTGAACCATTTGCCAGAAGGAATCCTTTGTTTTCTTAGAGAAATAATGAACTAGAGAGAGAAAATGAAGAACATGAAGAATAAGAGAGAGAGGGGGGTCAGGAAGCAGTTTTTCTTAAACTTTTTCGCCTGGGCCTGTTTCTGGGCTTAAGCCCAGTGAGTTTTAAGAAAGAGGGACGCTCAGGCTAGACAGATTTTAGTCCACCCCATACCTTTCTCTTCCAGGAACTGGACTATCCAGTCCAGCCCAGTCCCCTCCCCCTACTTAAAAAAAAAAAATAATAAAAAAAAAAGAGGCATGGAATCAATCCAGCCTGCTCCCAAAAAAATGAAACAAGAGAGGCTGGAACCAAAAAAAAAAAAAAATACAAAACATAAAAGAAAAATAAGAAGCTGAACCATTCCAGCTCCTCCAAAAAATAAAAATATGATGTACAAGACATAATGACTTGCCATTACTCCAGTTAAGTCAAAAAAAAAAAAAAACATACACAGAGAGAGAGAGAGAGAGAGAGAGAGAAGTAAAAAGAAAAGAAAAGAGGGATGGATAGACTTAATGGGCTTAGCCCGATGGATCTGGCCCAGTTGGCCTAGCCCACCTAAAAGAAATTAATGCCCAACGTTTTAGTTTTAATTTTTTTAGATATATTGTTTTAAACAATTATTTATGCATGCTTATTTTCTATTTGATTTTAGATTTTAATATTTTAATTTTCTTGAAATTTTAGTTAGTTAATTATAATTAATTTTTGTTTTAATTTTTACTATTTAGTTTAGATAACCAAATGATAGGTGAATTGTCGAATCTCCTAATTTTTAGAAACTAATGACGATTCTCTATTAATAAAAATATTAAAAAACCAAAATAAAAAATGATAAACATAAAAATAAAAAATAAAAATTTTCAACGAAGTCTTCTATCCGATAGAGACTGTCGTTTGACGAAAAATAATAAAAAAATTCTCTAAAAATTCTCTTATCCGATAGGGACTATCGTTTAACCAAGAAAATAACAATAATAATAAATTCTCAACCAAATCTCCTATTTTAATAGGAACTCGTCATTGGTTATAAAAAAAAATATTAATTAAAATTTTAAACGAAATCTTCTATCTAATAGAGGCTATCGTTAACAAACCAAATAATTTAAAAATATTAATTAAAATTTTTAACAAAGTCTCCTATTTGATAGGGACTGTTTTTAGCCAATATATATATATAATTTTTTAATAAACAAGATGTTCTTCAACACACCGGTTGTGTCGAGACTTAAAGTGGTTAAAAATTAGAGTCTAAATTGAAAAATACTTTGGCACAAATAAAATGCTTTAGAAGATGAATTAAGATTAAAACTAGATGTAGTATCTTTCTTAGGAAAGAGCATATTTTGGTGATCGATATCTTCCCGCAGCGTAACCAACTCCTTACTATAAAATCTCTGGATCGTTGTCTATTTTAGGTTCCTACTTCCTTCAATACTAGGTAGTGACTCCAATTTTGTAAATAAAAACCATAAAATCTGAACCATAGATTTAAACCTATTTTGTTTCAAAAGTCTCATCCGATGTCAAGTAGCGACGAATGGTGACTCCACCGAGGACTCGTCATTAACAAAAAAAATAATAAAAAAACATTAAATTAATTTTTTAACGAAGTCTCTAATTTGATAAGGAACGTTGTTAGCTAAAAAAAATTATTTTTAATAAACAAGATGTTATCCTACATATCAATTGTGTCAAGATTTAAAGTGATTAAAAATTGGAGTCTAGATCAAAAAATATTTTAGCACAAATAAAATGCTTTAGGAGATGAATTTAAGAGTAAAACTAGATATGGGAAATTTTTGGGTTATGACATTGATTGTGTGAAAGCTTTTGCCATATTTGAGATCATTAAATTTGATAGAATGTCCGACAAAGAAAGGATACAGATCATTAAAATCTAAGTAATACGAAAATTAAATGAAATAGAAATCTATTCTTCTTAATTAAAAAAAGGTAAACGCATTCATTTATAACAAATAAAAAAAATTATTTAATCTTGTGATCTTACTTTATAAAGTCTCATCAAATTAAAGGTATAATCCTCTCCTTGTTTGTTTCATTATCATTTAAGAGGTTTTCATTTGATCAATTCAAAAATATTAACAAAAATAAAATCTAATGCAATATAAACACATATAAAAATTAGAAGAAAAATAATGAGTTCATTTGTTTCAGAAAAATAATATATGAAAGAATTAAGAATCAAATGGATAACTAACGGCTTTAGGTGCTGATTAGGCTTTGATATGAGTTCTTCCATTTTAAAATAATTAAAGATGTAGCCAAATTCTAGATTTGATCCATAATTTAAGTTTGTTATGGGTTTTGATATGAGTTCATCCATGAGTATTTGTCATAGTATATTGAAATTTATCGACAATTAAAATTTTAAAAAATGTTTAAGATATAGAAGTGTTAATTGTTA